GAGATTTAGAAGGCCGTCCAGTTTTGCATAGTATGTAAATGGGATCAGTATGCTTTCACCTATGTAGAACTGGACGGCGTACTACTTATTTCAGAGTCAACACATATTTTGATCTCTAAAAGAAACCTGACATGAATCATCTGCTACTCTAGAAATCAAATTTATCATGGCTAACCAACATGGAATGATAGCAGAACAACAAACCATCACTAACATGTGGCATCTGAATTTCTGGCTATACTAACGTTATTTGGCAGATATAGACAATAGTGCCAACCATAAAGTATTATTTGCAAAAGCAGGAAGGTTATTGTAGCTAGATAAATGACTCGCTTCAAGTAGACTGCCAAATTTTTATTAGAAAGTGCATGCCTACTGATAGGACATCTCGGGGAATCACAGTGAGAATGGAAGGCCTGGAGAAATGTAAAAAGGCCACTTTGGATTACACGTGAAGGTTGTGAAGGTTGTGATTATATCAAGCGAGGCTTGGACATGGGAAATAGTCATCGCGGCGTGGAAGTTTTCAGTTATACAGCGACGCCCACCGGTACAGGATAACGGCATAATATTTTTCTCATGGACCTCGGCTTCATCAAGCTTACCAAGTCCAACAGCGTTAACAACAAGCTGGAGCTTTTTAGCGCTCATATCGTCCGAAAGCTTTTCAGAAAGGACCTTGCTTGAGTAGTGAGAAGATCAAAATGTAGTAAATCACCACAGTCCACGTAGCAGCAACCAAATAACAAGATGAAGATGATAGGGCAGCAAGGAACCTGTGGTAAATGGAGGCACATGAATATTCTACATGCAGAAATAGCTGAAATGAAACATGTTTTGCTATCTCAGGCACAACAGATACTGTAGTTGCTCAACATAATCTAATAAGCAAGAACAGAGTGGGATATAAACTGATTATGTTTTCTTTTTGCTTAGGCAAGAACACACGTGAATATGACTAAAAACTATTGCTTTTTCTATGTATGCGGAGGCAAAACCAAAGCAAGATAAATAATAAGCTTTTGAACCTATATTTTTGGCTACTGATAAGTGAAACCTGTGTATTTCTTTGTACCAAGCACACAGGTAAGACCAGAAAGAAAATAAAGGAAGAGGATCTTAGCAGGCCTTTTACAAAAACAAATCGACCTTCTCTGTGTTGAACATTAAATTCAGCTGGCAATTCTTTGCTTTGATTTCCTTGTGAGTCCCTATCGATATGAGAAAAAGGCGAGAAAGAACCTAGAATTTTAACTGCAGCAGGGAATTAACATGAAGAAACATGATGTTTGCCTTCAGAGGTAAACCGATGAAGGAGAAGGGCTTTTAGATTAGCTAGCCCAGCAGTAAATAGAAGATATACGGAGGCGCACACAGTGTAACAGCAACGACAAGACATAGTTTAAACAGCATGGCCGAGCGGCATTTATAGTTAGTAGAGATTGTCATAAGGAGGAAGATAAGGCAGAAAGGGCCAAAGGCAATATTTACAACGAGCGGCATTTATAGCTAGAATGTAGCAGAAAATATAATTCAAGCACCTAAGAATAGCTTCATAATCCACTGAGCCACAACCCACGACAGTAAGACAAAGAACTAAGGTAGGAATTAACCCCAATAGGCACAAGTCTGCATCATATTTTGACCTGGTGTAGGAATCCCTACAATTAATTAGGCATGTGATTCACCAACTAATCCTTAAGCCAATGAACCACATAGGGACTAACCATAATGGCCACAAATCTATGTCATGCTTTAACCTAATGTAATCCAACAATTCCTGAAGGGAAAGACCTAAAACTGTACTAACCCAAACCAACAGTCAGATCGGCGAAATATCTTAAACTAATAGAATCCAACAATAGACAGTTAAGAAAGGCAACAAAAAACTGTCACAAATCTCAGCATGCGACCGAGCCTCCCGCAAAGCAACAAAAAACCCGGGGATCCAAGCAGATCCCCTAATCCATCCAAAGAAATCCAAACATACCCAGGCTTGTGCATCCAATTTTTTACTCGGATTCAAACAGACAACGCAGCTAAAAAAATACAATTACTTCACAAACATGGCACTGCAGATAACTAATTATACCTTATTTCATCGAAAAATATAGTCTACAGGGAAATTCATCCAAAAATATAATCTACATGGAAATTAATAAAATTCAGACATTGGCATACAGAGAAACTAATAGGAAAACATGCACCATCAATCACTCACCATAAGGTCAGCTGCTGGACAGTAGCTGAGCTGCAGTAGACGGTTACCAAGAAATGAACAGAGGAACAATCTCTACAAAATAACCATGAGAGCACCAAACTATCTGCAAACATGAAGGCCCTTGCTTGGATTAGACGGGACGAGTACTCCATGATAATCAAAACAAAAAGATGGGATTTAAATTTATAGAGCAATGCTAGGAAGATATTGTCTTGAAGAAAGGAAGGTAAGAAAACAATAAAGCAAGTGATGAACCTGGAAAAATAGCCTCCAAGTTTTGCTTGAAAATCCATCGAATATATCCTTGATCGCATATTTGTCTCTGTTGAGGTAGTGACTCTATGGGAAGGTTCTCCAGAAAACAGAGTAAAGTTGTTTTTCCTTTTTGAGATCTTGATAGCAAACCTGCAATGCATCAAAGAGGGATTAGAATTGATAAGAAAAGAAATCCCTGCTATTTTATCGTCAAAGAACATACTTCCATCGACGAAAATAAAAAACATTGAAATTTGATGGTGTAAGGAACCTGCAGTGATATACTGAGCAATAAACTACTTTGCAATGATATATTGAACCATAAACCTGAAGCTCTACTTTGATGCTAATAAATTTTTAACTGGGGAAGTAGGAAAATTAAATCATATACTCTAAAACATATTGCAGAAACAGAAGCGTGATGCACACTTCCTTGAAATTTGAACACAAGTGAACATTCATTTCAGTTAACACTACTATTTATCTACGGGGGAGCATGGATAAGAAAAGAAAAAAATAGAAAATGTATGCAAATTCACATATATTTTTCAAAAATCCCATGGAAATGTGTTGGTCCGCTGGTCTATCAGGACGGTGTATTCTCATATTCCAGGGAATATGAAATTCATACAAAAAGAAAACATGGGACATAGATGGGGAATGTCTTTGAGGAAAAGCAAGTAACTAATCAAGAAAGAAGCTTGCTCATTCCATTTTCCTGGAGTAAACATTGCGAAGTACCCAACTATTGAAGTTCCTAGCTAGTACTTAGTATTTGGCAATAGGACAGATTATTACCAGACTATACATATGAGGCTCTATTAAGTAAACATGATTGAAGGGTGAAATTATCAACAGATCAAGCAGATCAAATCTCCAAAATAAATAGTTGAATAAACGTGACCTGAATTTACAATTCAGAATGTTCGGCCTCTCACTATATGGTAAGCAGAGTATTTACTTTCGATCTTTTCATGATCACAAGCGCAAGGACTGTATACACAATCGGTTCCGACATTAGCTCTTTACAGCATGCTGGTACACAAATTACGTAACTAAAACATCAATAGTTTTGTGTAATCCCAATGTAGAGATGAAAAACTGAACCACCATGACAGTACGTAGGAAAGAGCAAACCTTGAGCAGGAGAACAAAGAAACAACATCGCTGCAGGATCCTCTGTCCCCATCTCATCTCCACCACACTTCCTCTCTGTGGCCCGATTGACAGCGTCGGATTCAGAAAGTTCTGTGATCACAAGATTCACAATAGATCAAAGTACATCAAAGAATACATACAGCATATAGAAGCGTTTAGGCTAAACAATTCTTGCATAGATGGGTAGGGGAGAGAGAGAAAGAGATCATGAGCGGAGGGGAAAGAAGGACTGGGGAAGCTCATCCTGATATGCGCCCCTATACAGAAACAATGCAACCTACACACGCACAAGGCATTGTTGCATCTTAACAAGGACTGTCATGATATAGAGATGAGAAAACATCATTTAGCTTTCCAGCGATCAAATAAGCTTGCACATAAAAGGAGTTTTATATTTAAAATAAAAGGCTGCCGTATATGATCATAAACATGACAATCTGAACTAAATGCATAATGCATTTGTGCAGTTTAAAAGGACCAGTAGCTTCCCCAATTTCGCTGGTCAATGCACCAAAACCTGGACACATTAACTCTTCGTCTACAAATGAGAACAACAATCTTAAAGCAGTGAACTCAATGACCCACATATTGTTCCTCTGACCTACACTAGCAAGCTAAATAACACCTAGGTTGTGTTTAGCTTTAAGATATGAGGTCACCTAGGTAGAAAGAAGAAGGCAAGTAACCCGTAACACAAATATGAGGTCACCTACCAATTTTCTACAAAACAGAGACGAACATTCATAGGAGAGAGAGTTAGTCACCTTGTTCTTCACCAAATTCTTCTATTGGATTCTCTTGTTCATCTTCTTTCTCAGATCTGGAATATTGTGGTATTTAGATAAATTGTATACCAAGAAATCAAGACCAAAGACAAGAAATAAACAGGTAAAAGAGAGAACCTAAAAGTGATTTGCGGAGAACTGCATCTTGCTGCTGTTACAGGTTTTATGGCAGCACCCAACCACTACAAAGAAAAATTCAGGAACATCTGTGCCACATAGAGCAGTGGAATAAGAGAGAATACATGAAGAGAGGATAAGAAAGATATGTGGGGATGACAAAAAATACCTACAGGAGTCACGAACGACAATTCCAGATGTGTCATTGGCAATGCAACATCACTTGCCATGCAAATCCACATGACGACGAAGGAGGCCGGCGGGGAGTCCGCAGCGGCAGCTCCATGGCTGGGCCGAGCCGATCCGCCTCCTAGCTCGCATCCGCTGCTTCCCTCCTCCGGCTGAAGACACGCTGGTTGAGATCCTCCTCCGTACCTTCCTCGCATCGAGTTCTCTCCACCTCCCGCGGCTTCGTCGCAACCTGGGGCAGATGAGAACCTCGAGAGGTGGTGGATCTCATCGAAATGGCCGTCTGCCGCACCATGGCGCGAGCCATCGGTCAACGCTGCACCTCCCTCTCCTCTTTCCTCTCTCTTTCTCCTTCCTCTCCTTACTTCTCTCTCCCTCATCTTCTCTTTCTTCCGCAGGGACCGATCCATGGCGCTGGATCGATTCGAGCGTCGCCCTTCCCTTGCAGGTCGCTACCGCACCCTCACGCCTCGGGTCCGGTGGGATCCGGGATGACGAGGGGGGATGGGATGCGTGAGGGGAAGGTCGCTGCCGCTCCACCATCTCCCCCTCCTCCGCCACCAGAGGGCGCCGCCGCCACCGTTGTCGAGGGAGTGGAGGGCATGAGGAGAGCGCTGCCGCTGTTGTCCTTTGCCTGCAGGTCGGCACCGTGGTGGGGATCCAAGAAGGAGGAGGGGGCAGAAGGGAGGAATGGTGGGGGGCTGTGGGAGAAGAGGAGGCGGCTGAGGAGGAGGAGGCGGAGCCCGGGCACGCTCGGGGTGGAGCACGGGAGGATGGAGGCGGCCGTGGGATTGGGGAAAGGGGTCTAGGGTTCCACGACCCACTGGAAGCACGCCGCGCGCGAGGAGAGGATTGGCCAAAATCCTTTCGCACCCGCGCGACGTTTCATCCAGTCGATAGATGCCAAAAATGAGCCCACCAGTCATACTCCAAAGAAACTTACCAACAAGTGAATATTAGATTTACCAGAGGTAAAGATCTGACGGCTTAGGCTCAAAACGAGGATGATCCGACGGTCACGGATGCATGACATCGAGGGATCACCGTGGGAGCGAGTTGGATAGCCTCTTTTTTGTTTTAAATTTTCAGATCTATTATTCCAAAAACCCAAAATTACCTTGCTGCACTTTTTTGTTACTTCTTTTATTTCGCTTTTATTCGAGATCTATGTATCCAATCTTTCATAGTTTGTATCCCGTCCACGTGACAATTTCTGGCACCGTTACCAGAAATGGATTGACAACCCCTTTTACACGTCGGGTTGCAAGTATTTGTTCTTTGTGTGCAGGTACCGTTTACATAGTGTTGATTGGTTCTCCTACTAGTTCGATAAACTTGGTCTCATCATTAAGGGAAATACCTACCGTAGCTGTGTTGCATCATCCCTTCCTCTTTGGGAAAATACCGACGTAGTTCAAGCGGCATCACACATCAAGGTGAACCCCAAGTTGACTTGGAGGCATCCACAAGTGGAACATGTCAAGACGAAGGAAATGAGGAAGTACAACGAGATGATCCACCTAGACCTCCTTCTCCACCTCCACAAGCAAATGACGACGCCACCAACAATGAAGAAGAAGAAGATGATGGTGAGGATGTTCCACCACAACCCAAGCGAAAGCTCTCATGAGTTAGAGCAAGAGTCTCAAAAAATCATCCCGTTGAACAAATCCTCGACAACATCAACACTGGGAGAATCACTCGCTCTAAAATCCATTTGGATAACTTTTGTAATCATTACTCATTCATTTCTAGTATTAAACCTATGAAGGTAGAAGAAGACATTGAGGACCCGGATTGGATAAATGTTATGCACGAGGAGCTACACAACTTTGACTGTAACCAAGTGTTGATATTAGTTGAGAGGCCCAACAATGATCAAAACATCATTGGAACAAAGTGGGTATTCCGGAATAAGCAAGATGAGGATGGACAAGTGGTGCACAAGAAGCATCGTCTCGTTGCTCAAGGCTACACTCAAGTTGAAGGTATGGACTATGGTGAGACATATGCCCCGTTGCTAGACTTGAGTCCATTCGCATTTTACTTGCTTATGAAAATCACCATGATATCACCTTATACCAAATGGATATTAAAGTGATTTTATAAATGGTGAAATTGAGGAGGAAGTTTATGTTAAGCAACCTCTTGGCTTTGTTAATCCCAAGAAACCTAATCATGTCTACAAACTTCACAAAGCTCTTTATGGTCTTAAACAAGCCCCTAGAGCTTGGTATAAATGGTTGACTAAGTTTCTTATTGAAAGGGGTTTTGAAATTGGGAAAATTGATTCTACTCTCTTCATTAAAAGAGCTAATGGTGAATTATTTGTGTGCCAAATTTATGTTGATGATATCATATTTGGTTTTACTAAGCCTCATTTAAGTGAAAAGTTTGGAAGGTTGATGTCCGGAAAGTTTGAGATGTCTATGATGAGTGAACTCAATTTTTTTCCTTGGCTTACAAATCAAGCAAACTAAGGAAGGTACATTTGTCTCACAAACAAAGTATACCAAGGATCTCTTCAAGAAGTTGAATATGCATGAAAGCAAAGGTATGGAAACACCCATGCCTACTAGTGGACATCTTGACTTGAATAAGGATGGCAACCCGGTTGACCAAAAGGTTTCCCGATCTATGATTGGTTTGTTATTATATCTTTATGCCTCACATCCCGATATTATACTAAGTGTGTGTATGTGTGCATGGTATCAAGCTGCTCCAAAAGAATGTCAAAAGGATAGTGAAATATTTGATTCATACACCAAACTTTCGCATTTGGTACCCCAAGAGGTCATCTTTTGGTCTTGTTGGCTATTCCAACTCGGACTATGCCGGTGACAAGGTTGATAGAAAGTCCACTTCGAGTACATGTCAATTTATTGGTAGACTCCTTGTCTCTTGGTCTTCCAAGAAAGAAAATTCGATATCATTATCCACCGGCGAAGCGGAATACATTGCCGCGGGATCATGTTGTGCTTAGTTACTCTGGATGACCCAAACTCTCAAAGATTATGGGATACATGTGAGACTTGTTCCATTGCTTTGTGACAATGGGAGTGCTATTAAGATTGCACACAATCATGTGCAACATTCTCGAAGTAAGCATATTGAAGTTCGTCACCATTTCATTCATGATCATGTTGCTAAAGCAGACATTAATCTTAAGCAGGTTCGAACTGACAAGTAATTGGCGGATATCTTCACTACACCGCTTGATGAAAATATATTTTGTCGCTTGAGGAGTGAGTTGAACATCATTGATGCCTCAATTTGGAATAGAGATTCCATTTGGATACATGCAAGGCATGAGCCTATATGAGTAATCCTTGATATCTATAGTATCTAAATAGTTCATCCCCACTATTTGATTTCTCTTGACATGCAGCCTATCCACATCAGCACGTCGGCCATTGTTGCACTCTTGGCTTACAAGTGGGACCGACCAAAAACTGACCAGCATAAGGAACGACACATCAGCATTCAGTTACACATCATGCGTTCTCGCTCAGGCGTGAACCCACCATCTTTCGCCCAATTCCCCCCCCCCACACCTACAATTAGAGCCAGAGGAGCTTCCTCTATCCCTTGCGATGTTGTTTTGTTGATTGCTCCAAGCTCACTTCGCACCGGCGGCCTCCCCACACTGCGGGTCAGAGCTGGAAGACCTTCCTCACGTCCTTCTCTGCTCTCGACTGTCCTCGCGTCGGCAGCCTCAGACGGGTAGGACACACCAGCACACGGCCATCCAAGCGAGGATCTAGCGAGATTAATGGGGAGAAGCTCGTTGGCCTCCTCCAACCTCTTCGCCGTTGCCATGAAGACCTGCAAGAGCCGGAGGAGCTCCTTCATGTCGTTGTTGTGCTTCAGGCCCTCATTGCATCGGAAGCCTCGGACGTGCTTGATGCGGCCATCCCCACCGGGCCCCCGGTTCCAGCGGGATGAGCTGGGCAAGGATAATCTCTCCGGTCTCCCTGCCTCCTCGTCGCCGCCATTAAGTCGTACAATGCATCCACGCTTGGCCGATTTAGCCTGTGCACATGCTGCTAGTCTGCTCCGGGCCTTACTTGCACCGAGGGCCTTGGACGAATAGGATGCGGTCGTCCCCACGGCAGCTCCCGTTACAGTGGGACAACCTCGGGAGGTGAACCTCGCCGGCCTCCCCTGCCTCCTCGGTGCGGCCATCAGTGTCGCAAGGTACATATGCTTTTTGGTGCTTCACTGCAAGGTGCTTGCAGAGCTCTCCATTTGCTTTGTGATTAGCTTTAGTTAGTGTTCTGATCTTATATTCATATGTATCTTGCCACTTGTTGGTTGCTCCGAGGTGCTTGCTAGCTTAACTGGACGAGGATGGCGACCTATAGAGTACAACTGATGTTCCTGTTCTCCTGTTGTTCTTCAGTATTTTTTCTTTGCTAACACGAGTTATACACAGAGCATTGCTTTAACTTCTGCGCAACCCAATGCTCGAAATGGCCCACACTGTTTAATCTTCTCCGTTTCCATCTACCACAACTGGAACAACCTCCTAAAACTAAAACAAGTTTTTTTACTGCAGGTAATTGATGGCTGAGACTCCACTTCATCTCCCCATAATTTTCAGAAGGAACTGATGGGTTCCCTTTTAAAGTTCTTGACACTTCACTTCATCTCCCCACGATCTTCAGAAGAAATTTATCGTGCGTTCCCTTTTAAAGTTGTTGCCCCACCTCGATTCAGTTTGTTCCCATTATCCTCCTGTATGGGTGGAAGTCTGCCACAGGGCACTCATACTGCTGCCACTTGTGAGAAACTTTCTCCCCTCTCGCCATTCCCTGGGACATATTGCTAATTCTGAATTTTTGTGTCATTAGTTAATATGTAGATCTAATGTTGCTTGACTGAATTCATAGCCTTCAATTTTTATTCTTTCTTCATCTTGAATGCCATCTTTGAAGATTATCTTATCTTAAAAAAATCCATGGTGAAATTGAGGTTAAACATTTCAACCTTTTTGTTTGGTAAATGAAGTGCTTGCTCAGTGTCGGTGCAACAGACCCAGGGCCTGTTGACCTGACTGTGCATAGACACAAGATCAAGGTTGAAGCACCAGAACTAGAGACCAAGAGACTCAAAGAACCAACTAATAGATCAAGAGGAACATATACGTCCATCTTGCATGCTTTTATATCGATATTTAGTGCATTATGGGCGGTTATTACACATTATGTCACAATACTTATGCATATCCTGTCTTATTTTACAAGGTTTACATAAAGAGGGAGAATGCCGGCAGCTGGAATTCTGGGCTGGAAAAAGAGCAAATATTAGAGACCTATTCTGCACAACTCCAAAAGTCCTGAAACTCCACGGAAGTTATTTTGGGAATTAATAAAAATACTGAGCGAAGAAAATACCAGAGGGGGGCCACCCACCGTCCGTGAGGATGGGGGCGCGCCCCCTACCTCATGGGCCACCTGGCAGGCGTCCGGTGCCCATCTTCTGCTATATGAAGTCTTTTACCCTGGAAAAAATCATAAGCAAGCTTTCGGGACGAAACACCGCTGCCACGAGGCGGAACCTTGGCGGGACCAATCTAGGGCTCCGGCGGAGCTGTTCTCCCGGGGAAACATCCCTCCGGGAGGGGGAAA